GTCAACATAGTGAATTTCGTACAGTCTACAGGAATATTTCGTCCAGAGTTGTGGCTGCACATCGGAATATTCATTTTTCTCACTGCCGAAAGTCTGAGTTTCTGGCCCTCTTCTGAGAATGCTCCAGTTACTGCATGCCTGGGAGAATCAACGCCGTTTGATGAACAAGCAGTATTTTCTTCTAGTCTGTTTTGATCAGAAGTGATAAATAACTTAACATCTTGCCTCAGCAGACATAAACTATACAAATAAATTTCACAAGTAGTCAGTAAATAAATTAAGCAATTCCAGTTATTAATCGGTTTTAAGTAGCTTGGGCAATGGCTCGTCTTGAATCACAAGCAATTCATGGCGCGTAACGTTGTCCGCCCTCTTCCATGGCATCTGTCTATCAGTTCCTCTGCTAGTGAAAGAACTGTAAACAGCGGGCATCAAACCAGGTGGCATTTCAGGTGACCCGTTCGATGACCTCAACACCATATCGGCGGTCTTCCCGTCGGCTACTTCGATACCAAAACTTTTCATAATCACCTGCATAACGGCGTCCACCCTGGCGTGGATGATCAGATCCGCTTTGTTGTCCTGTATGAAAAAACCTGTTTCAGAAAACGACCTCATGGCGCCAAATTTCGCTTTCCGCCACCTGCTTTGTAGCTTGAAGATTAACAATAGCCAACTTTCCTCCGGTCTTGCCAGCCAACGTTGGAAGATTGCCAGCCGGTACGATCTGCAACGTAGAACCAAGACAGACACTAAGATCAGCTAATCTAAAACCAGAGAAAGAACGCTGATACAGAAGAGCAAAACAATACCAATATGATAAAATAATAAAAACTGTCAAGCAGTTAAAAAATATATTTTACACAGTAACCTTCAGGTATGTACAGTTTTAACCACGGGTATGTAGTTTTGTTTCTTGTTCTAATTCTTATGAACTGGATCAAGAGATACAGCTTAGGCACAAAAATCTTATAGTTGGAGAGGTTCAACACAATGTATAACTGGCTGCTTTCATGACTTCACTACAATCATTTCTTCCTGCTTACCTCCAAAATACGTTTGATATGTTCACTGTAGTACATGATGAAGTCCAAAAGACCGAAGGTTTTACATTTATGAACATTCGAAATGTTCTGCAGGCAAGAGAAGCATGTCTGGAGAGTGTGCAGAAATTTGAGTATCCCGGGGTAACAATCATGAGTGATGGAAAGCAGAACGTAGAAACAGACTACAGAATAAGTTAGGCGAGCACAGTAATACAAGAGCTAAACCTACTGTGCTAATAATTCAACTAAGCACTAGTATGAATCCATCTGCTTTCAGATCGGTATAGGCACATACCTTCGTTTGTGGTCACGAATCATGACTTCTGACTGAAAGAATCCGGTCATAGATACAAGTGGTAGAAATGACGTTTCTTCAAAGGACTGTCTGTGAGACGAAACTATACAAGGATTGGAACACGCCGATTCTTGATTTTGTTTGTAACGCAAGGAATATCGCGACGGCATCTAAACTGCCGCGAAATATCTAAGCCTGATACATGCCTCGCCGAACCAACAGTAATTGTCTTGCGCAGCTTTCTAAAGCTGATTCCGAGAATTCTGATCATCCAGAGAAATCATGGTGATTAAAGAACTGGAAATCTGCCCTTATATAATGATCAGACAGCGCCAGGAAATCAGTACTTATACTGAGTCTACTGTAGAACATGTCGTTGCTCAGCAAACTGTCAGTCGTGTCTTCTCTCGTGAAGCAACCAACAACATTGTTTAGATGCAAAAGACCAGCTGCTCCGGCAGCTCCGGTTATCGCTGTACAATAACTCGGCTATATCAGTTTTGTCTGTAGCCATATCTATCATTTTATTTGTTTGTTTTATCCTCATTGCTAATTATTCACTTGATAGGGAAAAATTTTATTTTACTTTATCAGCGGTAAAGGCATGATTTTTTGGTGATCTCAGTCAAGCAGTCAATTTTCAACTTTATCAAGGCGAACTCTCTTGGCAGAGTCACATAAAAGACGGCTAGAATGAGACCGTGACATTAACATTAACATTGACATGACTTGTTTACAGTCAGCAGCTGGCATAATCAGGCCTGGCTGTCCAGACCATCGAGCCTATATGACTGTATGAATACCAGATACATTGCATGAATCCGGAACCGTCTAAAGCAGTTGTTTTTGCAATCAGAAAAAGAGTAGTAGACTTCAAAAACAAACGAAAGAAAGGGTTTAAGAACTAAAACAAGCTACAATTACATTGGTTTACAGCAAACGCTGATAGTACTGTTGTTTTATTCACTTGTAGCTTGGATACCGCTGAACATCATAAGACAACGATATGTTAATATGAAAGTCACTGGCTGTCCGTGGGCATCTATTAGATACTGAAGCCAATGATCGAACTGGTTTTACATGCAAAATGACCATCCCATTCTGGCGCTCTATTTCGCCAAGATCTCATTTCAAATCTCAAGCCAGTACGGTTATGGTCAGCATCTGCTGTTAACAAAGGTTTGTCACAGACATCAAAAACAGCATCATGGTGATGTGTACAAATAGCCTGTTTCGCACTGTAAAAAAGCAGATTTGGAATCCTAGCACAGAGTAATATTGTTTTTAACTACCACTGTAATGAGTAATTCAGCACCACTGCGAATAGACAGTACTGAAACGAGCGAAACGTCACTGACTTGATAAATAACAGAGAGAATGATATTCTGATGTGGTCATGTCAGAGAATACAAAACCTACAGCTAACAAGTGTGCTGACTATGCCAACATGAAATGTTACCGTTCATAAAAATAAAATTTCATTCATTTTTGTACATACCCTCAGAAAGCATGATGAAAAACAACGTTTAGACTTCAAGCCAAATAATTAGAGATATGAAGCACTGGCATTTTCGCGCCTTTGAATCCAGGATATAGAATTGCCGAACTCGTCCAAAACCGGGACATGAGGAAAACATCCTGAATCTGCGAAGTTGCTTCTGAAGATCGACGGACAGTGAAGCGCAACTAAAACACGTTCTCCGACATCTGTTACTTGGCCAAGGGGTAACATGCTGGATTGGATACACATGCTACTTAATAATGGGTATAAACAGAAGTATCATTCAATAATCCTAGAAGATCAGCTTCAACATCAAAGTCGCAGAAAAAGAATAAGAGCCAATGAAAGGGTTCATGTGTCCAAGAGAAATACGGCGGATCAGAAGGTATTTTCCCAAGCTATGCATATTTCTGAAACAGCGATATTCAAGAATGAACTGATTCTCGTGCTTTTAAAGGCAAGTCTGTATAATGGGAAAACAGAGAAACCAGGGAAGACCCAAACAAATTCTAGAATTAATCACTGAAGAAAGCATGCACCCACCCTCTCAATGAACAGTCAGTTATTTGGAAAGCAATGCACTTTTAAGGAGAATGCCGATGTCGGCAAGGAAAGGCATCGACTGTTAACAAAAGCTACCACCGTTGATTTATATCTGGATGTCCTAACCATGCATCAAAGGAATATTACAAAGATAACTGTTCTGCATGTGTTATTTGCCACTGAGACGAAAAATTTGAGATTCATTCTATTATTTATCTGTCTTCAAAACTTATCAAAGTTTTTAACTTCAATGATAACAAAGAAACAAGCGCTAAACATAAGGAATTACGCATCGTCTTACTTGGAATGGTATTCTGCCAGCGTGAGGTCAAATGTTGGCAAAGAATCTTCCCAGTCTAGCACGGTATCACGCAACTTTCCGCTTAAAAAGCATTGAAGATCATTCATAACCAAAAACTGGAAAAATCCAAAAACCCAACCTACCGACAGACAAAAGTAAGTAAAACTCAGACAAAAAATCTAAGCATTTTGTTGGAATCGCATTCATGAATGACGGCAGGCATAAGTGTAAACAGATGGGAATTATTCAACTGGGTGCAATTGTGGAGGAGCTAAGAGATGATGTAATGTAGGAAGAAGTGTTGAAGAGAGAATGAAGCTATATATTTTCATTTTTAACCCCCGTGGTCAATGGTATCCATAGTACCTATGGTTAAATGTATTTAAAATTGAACGAAAGATGACAGGGAAACAAAAAACATATATAATGGCCATTTGATGGATTACTGACATGATTACGCATGGAAAGATTTGAAAAACGGGCAGTTTTAGACATTTTTGCCTGTGAACCTCCGCTTCTCTACATAAGAAGATCACTAAGATCAATGTGATCCTCTGACCATGCTTGCGAGCAAGATCAGAATGCCAGAATCGAGATTCGTAAGAGGAATGGTTAAGCCACAATGAAGGCGACCAAACGGCAGAGCACAATAAATGACTCCAATATACTGACCAACTGCGACTGACACACCTTGGAATCGAGCCCGTAATACTGATTTTACTGACAAAGGACCAGAAACACTTATAAAACCCAGCTAAAGCATCTGGATCTGCTACAACTCGAACGAAGTAGGAAAGGCGTGAAAGATAAATGAATGAAAAAAGAATGATTATGTGAATAGATATGAATGAAGAAATGAATAAATGAGCGAATGAATACCTAAATTGTAACTGCAACTGAAAGTGGATCATACAAAACGGATGAATGAATGAATAAATGAAAATAAGTGAATCAGTAAGTAAACGAATGGATGAACAAAGACGTATACGGACAATTCAATGAACAAACGACTGAATAGATGCAAATTAATGAATGAAGGAACAAAATTTCACGACGACCATGTCCAGCAACTGATATAAGGCTGCATACTGATCCTGTTTTGATGGCAGTAGTAACAGTTTGACTGCGATTTACCGGCATATGTGACCTGAACGTTTCTTCCATTCACATATATTTCCAGTAAATTTCCGACCGATGGTGGGAACCGTTTTCAGCCGAATATGGTTCACTTTACAGACAGGACAGTGTTCGACAAATACATTTCCGTGAAGCTCCGACATACGATCGCGAGGGTAGCCGCTGCGAAGGTGAAGGCCATCGACGTTCTGCGTCACAAGGAACCTGCAAGATCAAGCTGTTTATAACATCAGCCTAGCTCTATTAGCAGAGTTCAGACTCAGTCGAAAGATGGTGGATTCGAGCCCTGGCAAACCATTCTCTTTTAAAATTAAAATTAAATTAAGATTAAAATCTTTCCAATTAAACCAGT